GGGGGGGGGGGTGTCACTCTATTCCAGAGTGCTAAACAGCCTCCACTCTCCCTCTCTTGGGGTGCCGACTGCCATAATGAGGGGTGCGGAGTCTTCGCTACTGGGGTGTAGCTGCAGGGTGGTAGCCCCTCCTGATCCAAAGGTTATCTGGGCCCCTAGCTTAGAGAGGAGGTCTCAGCCGAGGAGAAGGATGGGGCATTCTGGCATGTGCAGGAACTCATGCCGTACCCAATGGCCCCCAAGTTCACACAGCGAGCTTGGCAGAAGGATTTCTGAACTGCCCGGTCCCCTGTTGCTCCAAGTATTGTGGCTGTTCTCCTCCCCAGGGGGCCACAGGCGTAGTGACTACCGAGTGTTCTGCTCCAGTGTCTATCATAAAAGTCACATTTTGGCCCTCGACATTCATCCTTACCCTGGGCTCATGGGGCAAGCCCGGTCCCCTTACAAGGTTGCCTTCTTGTGGCTCCCCTTGATATTTGCTAGGTTTCCGAGGTTTTCCTGGACACTAATTTTTTCAGTGCCCAGTCTCCTGGCAATAGGCGTATTGGTCTGCCACCAGTGGGGCCCATCAATTTCCCCCCTTTGGTGGGCAAGTCTTCTTTTGCCCTCTTGATCCCTCCTCTTTGAGGGCCGCTGCTAGGAGGCTAACTTTCTTCATCTTCTTGTCATCCTCCCACTCGGCGGCAGCTCCTCTGTTCATATAGACTTTGTTGGCTATTTCTATCAATTGAGTGATATTCACGCTGGTGAAACCCTTCTGTTTCTGGAGTTTTCTCCGGATGTCAGGGGTGGCCTGTGCCATGAAGGCAGTGTTGACCATTTGCTGGCTCTCTGGTGCCTCGGGATCAAAGGGTGTGTAGATCCTGTGTGCCTTGCAAAGCCTTTCATAATAGTTCCCAGGGGTTTCCCCCAGCTGCTGTGTTACTGAGGAGATTTTGGCCATGTTCATTGGCTTTTTGGCACCCCCTTCGAATTCCACAGCGATTGCCTCCTGGTAGCGCCGGATATGGCCCTGGCTTTCCTCAGTGGTGAAGTCCCAGTTGGGGCGCTCCTTGGGGGCCGCCCTTAGGGCCCAGCCTGCTGGATCATTCACCTCTGCGGGGACATTATCTTCTAGCCATTGATGGCCCCCCCGATAATCCGACGCCTCTCCTCCGTGTTGAACATGGTACAGAGGAGCTGCTGGCAATCTTCCCAGGTTGGCCAGTGTGTCTGGAAGAGGGATTTTTTGAGGTCTATCATGGCCTGCGGCTTCTCAGAATACGGCGGGATGTTATGCTTCCAATTGAGGAGGTCAATGGTGGAGAAGGGCTGGCTGGTAGTACATCATGGAGTGGCCAGGTTGAACTATACCATCGTCATTCAGCCTCTCGGGTTCCCAAGACTCTCTGACTGGCATCTGGAGGGCTCCTTGGTGTGGGTGAAGTCTCCCAGCCCATCTGGGTGTGGGAGGGCCTTCTCCTCCTTGGGGTGGAGGTGGCACCGATGGTGGTGGAGTATTAACATCTGGCAGCGGAGGGGCCTTAGGTACTCGAGACTCTCTGAGATAGGGGGGTGGCCCAATGGGAGGCTCATCTTCTTGGTCTCCCACAAAAACTTGAGGGGTCTGTTTTCCTTCAGGCTGAACAATGAAGACCTTAGCCTCTCCCTGCCTGTTGGTGCAGAACCATATTCAAAGGGGGAGCGTCTTCACTATTTCTAACCAAGAATCTATATAAGGAAACTGGTCTGGGTGGCCAGGATTTCCTGTGACAACTTTCCAGATCTGGCTGATTGTGGGGACATCCAAGGTACCCCCTAAGGGACAACTGACCCTGAAGGTGGTCCATTCAAGTTCGCACAAAGTGCGAAGAGTGCTGGGAGTCATTTTGATGCCATAGTCCCCATAAAAGCCCTTCTCAAAGTTTTTCAGCATATAGTCTAAGACGGTGGGCTTTCCCTGATATACTCCCATGTTCCAGTGTACAGTGTCAGATACAGACAAAGGGTGGGGGAGTCCCCGAAGGGACCTTTCAAATGCCCATCCATCTGCTGCCTCTCTGCAACTTGTGCCAGCCTTGACTAAGGTGCACCCCTATAATCCCTGGGCCTGGTCAGCCGAAGCTGAGTTACTGTTATGTCATTATGGCCGACTACAAATACGGATTAGGGCCCACTCAGATCCCGTGGCTAGTGCCATGGGATCACAGACACATTCACTCTCACAGTCATTCAGAGGTTATTACATTTCCTCCCTGGTTAACCCTACCTGGGGACCACTAGAGGTCCTTGGGCGGTGATCAGGCTCCCCTTCCGCCCGTTCAGGCAGGCCTAACTCGGTCGTGGCCCCGGGGCCTTACTGTGTCAGATGCCCTGGCCCTGGTTCTCTCCCACCTCACCTCGAGCCTTCTCCTCTGTGACTCCTCCTCGCCATTCACCACCCTGCGCTCCCACCCACACCGGTGGCTGCAAGGTGCCAGCTTGGCTGGGCTTCCCCGTCAAAATGTTGCGGAACCAAAAATGTTGCGGAACCAGAGACGTTCACCTTACGGAAAGACCAAGCAGCACTCGGAGGCTCAGGGTTCAGGAGGTTTATTTTACACCGACAGGCCCAGGGGAGTCCAAGTCCAAAGTCTGAGCCCCGAACACAATTGGGCAAGGAGTTCTACACCATCCATGCTTCTGCCTAGGTTGCGATAGGAGAGTGGGGCTGACCCATCTCGTTTGGCAGGTTGCAGGAAGGGGAAGGGGGCACGGCACTGTCAGCCATTTTAGACCGAGCTTTCCCTTATCAAGGTTAAAACGAAGAGCAGTTGTAGGAGCTCATGGATGTTCATCTAGGCACAGAAGACCTGGGAGATGCAGCCACCACGGCGCAGAGTAGGCCTGGTATGTTACAACGGCCTGCGCAGCCGGTGGAAAGATGAGTTAACAGTGCAGCATCAGGCTGCTTCAGGAAAGTTCTGACATCCCCACTTCTTTGATCTTTATAATCTCATTATTACCAAGGGAAAAGTAGAGATTTATTTATGAGGAAAGTTTGTGTTGGCTGTTACCTCTTTTGAAAACGTTCGGGATATGAATTTACCGAAACTAGCCTCCGCACACCATTTTCCAATGCAACTGTTAAGTAATTGCATCTTCTCACATTTCTTCAAAAACACTGTTTTAACATCATGTTAATGCTTAATTCATTTTGTAAATTTCTGATTAATGGTGTATAATTAAAAATTTGTCATGAAATGAAGAGTTTTTAAGGAAATAATAGATGCCTGTGTTACTGGTTTTTCAGAACACTACTTACTACATTGTATGTGTGGCAGGTACCACTATTGACACTTATTCTTAAGGAAATAGCTGCCACCCTACCTTGGTACTTGTGGCTGCCAGGATTTTTGGAATCTGCAGTTGCAGCTCTAAATATGGGTTCTTCTCATGGTGAAGAAACTGAATGCTACATGTTCTGGGGACCACGCACATCAGAAGAAGAACCTTTTCGTACTGAGGATTTAAAATTTTTTGTATGCATAAAATTCTTGATTTGGGATCGGTAAGAAATAGGATTAGTTTTTAAAGAAACAAAAGGAAATACCCACCCCACCCCCCACCAAAAGTGGTTTTTAACAAGATAGAAATTTATCTCTCTCCCATAAAGGACTTTGGAAGTGGGGACCCTGGATGGTGTGGTAGACCCACAAGCATCAGGGACCCATCTTTACCAATCTTGCTGCCTCTACCAGGTTCAAGGTGACTCTCTGAACACTGGCTGGCAGCTCTCATTTCTGCATTCTAGCTAGCAAGAAGCAAGATTTATGAAAGATTAGCCTCTTTTGGGGGGCACTTTCTGAAAGTGTATTCTGTTGCCCAGAACTTCATCTCATAGCTACACTTAGCTGCAATGGAGGCTGGGAAATATAGTCTATCCTAGGCATCCCTGTGCCATCTTAAACTTGAGTTTCTATTATTAAGAGAAAGAGACATAGATACTGGGGAACAAGCAGCGGACTGTCAGGTGATGCCAACTGTTGTAATGGGGAAAATGTAGAGATGATGTTTTTGCACACCTGCTATGTGCCTGTGGGTCTGTGAAGCACTTTACATTGTCAAGTCACTTAACTGGAGAAATTGCAGCTCAGGGAGGTTCTGTTTTCCAAAGTCACACAGCTGGGTGAGTTATGAACCCTGTCCTGGCGAGGCAGCTTGCATAACATACACACCATGAGCTTCAAACTCAAGGTTACAGACCTGGGTTCAAACCGGAGTCTGTCATTGATCAACTGCATGATGATGGCCAAGATACATAATGTCTCTGGGCTTCAGTATTTTCTTCTGTGTAGTGGCAACAATAAGACTTTCCTCATAAAGCTATTGTGAGAATTAGATGTCAGCATGTGTGTGCATATGTATTTAACCCAGCGATTTTCAACCTGTGTGCCTCAAGAGGTAGATGGTGTGCTGCAAGATTTTTAAAACATGCAATACCTGGCTATTTAGTCAGGGGCACTGACCTCTTTTTCCTTAGACTGTCAAATAAAAAAAACTGACAACAGCCAACACAATAATAGCTGTGTGAATGAACCAAAATTATATGTACCTATTCTTTTTTTTTGTCAGATTGGCAAAATATATTTTTTGGTGTCCTGCAGAATTTTAGTAATTACTTTATGTATGCCATGAGATGAAATAGGTTGAAAATCACTGATTTAACCCAATGTCTAGACATAGTGATAGTAGTAGTAATAATAATAATATCTGATATTAATATTTGTTCATCATAATTGATACTCCATAAATGGAAGGTCCTTTCCCATTAGGACTGTAAATTTTCTGTTCTCTCTGTGGAAGCTGCATCAGTGGTTTATTATTGGTTTGAATTGGTTTCTAATTTCCTGAAAGGCTTCAGAAGCAATCCATGTGGAATTCTTCACAGTCTCAAAGGTCACCTGTGGGGATCTATATTCTTTATAATTCAGAATCAGAAACACATTTGTTAATGAGCTAAATCTTTTAATAGCCTATATTGTAATTTAGAACTGGTAGCCAACGAGCCTAGACAATCTACATTTTTTTCTATCATCTACTATCTAGGGACATATTACTAATCAAATTTTTTAATTTCAGATTTTTTAGAAGTTTAGTGAAAGGTATTAAATTAAAGGTATTAAATTAAACAATTCAGCAGTTTTCACTTTATTTCTCTTTTTCTTTCAGAAATGTGATGTACTATGGGAAGACTTCCATCAAAAACTAGTGGATGGGTCCCTGCTGACACTGGATACCTATCTGGGCCAATTTCCTGACATCAAGGTATTTTACTCTGTGTCTATAAAGGAAAGAAGTGAATGGCCCATATACTTATTGAAACATGGGCAAGAGGAATCAAAGACAGTTGGTAACTTTTCATTTATTTAAGCATGGGATTCTTATTTTGTCCTAGCAGTTTGAAATCAAATGTAGTTAGAGAAATCACATTTTCCCCTTTTGTTAACTGCTTCAGCTTTTATTTCTCTATGGAAGTCTTTTTAATCCTATAGATATCAAGTCGGAAATCAGAGATCCCCCCAAATTTTAATCTTTTTTATTTTGAAAACTTTTTATTATATAGCATTTGACAAGAATTTCCAATAGAATAACAACAGTTACAAGGAAAGGAGAAAACTTTATTGCAAATGTGAGAGCAAAGTCTGTTTTTTCTTTGTGTACTGTTTATTTTGCATATGTTCATAGCACACCTGCATATTTTTCTCTCCTTGAAATTTTCAGGTTCAAATTGAACTACAGTTGACCCTTGAACAGCATGGGATTTAGAGGTACCGACCCCCATGCAGTTGAAATTTCACGTATAACTTTTGGTGCCCCTAAAACTTAACTACAGTTGTCCTTCAGTATCCATGGGGGATTGGTTCCAGCGCCCTTCGTGGACACCAAAATTTGTGGATGCTCAAGTCTCTTATATAAAATGGCGTAGAGCAGTGCATATGGTCAGCTCTCTACTTCTGTGAATTCCCAGCTGCGGATTGAAAATACAGTTCCAGTCTGTGTTTGGTTGAATATGAAAATGTGAAACCAGAGGATAAGGATAGCCAACTGTGTATTTATTGAAAAAAATCTGTGTATCAGTGGACCTGTGCAGTTCCAATTCGTATTGTTAAAGGTCCAACTGTATTGAGATATAAGCACTTCAAATACTTTTGTATCTGGGTCTAAAAATATCTTGTCTAAAACATTTGGCTTATGTGACACTTGGGTCTATTGATGGGGAAATACACAGGTGAAGGTTTGAATATTGCAGATTTGGAATTGATTCTGGAGGTAAAGATGGTTTTTAAACCATCTGGGTTATATATAGCAAATGGTAGCATTAATAAGCTGTTCCACTACCCTCAATTGTTTTCCCTGATCAAAGAAGAGTGTCAGGTAAGACAGCCACATATTTTCCTTTCTGTAGGGTGAGAAGGCCAGGAACAAGTATCTATGGGTGTCTGCAGAATCTTATTAGGTGACTTCTGATGTGAAGTTCCATTCTTACCTGGCCTTCTTTGTAGCCATTGCCAAACACCAGGGAACTATCTGCACTGGCCTTGACCATGAAACATAGTGAAACTTCTTGGTCAGAACAGCACTCATATCAATAAATTCATTTCCTTGGGCCCACACAGAATTCCTAACTCTAGTTAGCCAACATCTCAAAAGTATGTTTTGAGGTACCGGGGCACCCGACAAGGACCTGAGTGGATCAGACTAGATACATTAACCTTGTTGGCAAAATGTCACAGAGAACAATTCCAAATTATAGGTTCTTAATGAAGTTATGATAATAGGCAGCAGAAGGCCTTATTGAGCCATTGCATGAATGTATCCAATTAAAAGGTATATGTCAGTCTTTTGAATTTGATGAGAAATTAAAAAATTAAATTAAAATATTTTTAAATTCTGTAAGACGGTATGCACTAGCCTACAGGAAACATGTTTTTGGTTATCTTCAAATTATTTGACAAATATTCAAATTTTGTCTTGGAATTTAAGCATTTGTGAAGCGAATAGACTCAGAATCACTATTGTGCTTTGGAATATCATTTACTGCATGGCAATTTAATCTTCATAAAAATAACTTCCCAATTAATTAGAAGAGGGTAAAGGACATTTTTGTCCTCCTACTTAAAACTTTCAAAGCAGCTTGTCAATTGTCTAAATTTTTCATATATATATATATATTCATAGTATGACTTTGCTAAACCAATGCCTTCAGTGATCGACTGAAAGAACACGTTTGAAAAGTGGTTGAGTTTCAGGAATAAAAGCTTAGTGTCATAAAAAAAAAAAGTGAAGAATCTTAGTTGTTATGGTACTGCCCACCAGTAGTTACTTGGGAATTGGCCATACTCTCTAGGAACATATAATGTCAGAAGACAAATGCACACAGAAGGACCTACATTGAAAAATAAAGAGATTAAAATAAAATTATGATGGATTATATCAGCTAGTCTTTTTGGTTTGTTCCATATCAGAAAGATGAAGAACTCAGTAGCACTTTTACTTAAGCTGTTCGTTTCTTGAGGTGATGTACAAGGATGATCCTCCAGTTACTGAACCATCTTTACACTAGAGATTTGGGAATGATATCTGTTTTGATGCACTGAAAATAAATGAAATATGTCATGGTTTTACCTGCATCATGGAACGAGGCTGAAACAATCTCTCTTTCACTGTAGTCATGTTTAGAATATCATAGCATACACCGTTTTAACCCTGATAGAAAATTGTGAAACCATTTCGTATGGCAAACAGTTGAAGAAATAGCAATATTTAACTTGGAAAGGAAACAATTTGGAATTGGAGAGTAGTGGGGATAGATGTTAGTGGGGATAGCTGTTCCTAATATTTGAAAGACTTATCTTCTATGAAAAGGAAGTTAGAAGTGAATTTAGACTTAATTTCTTCAAAAAGTTAGTGCTGAGTGATTACGTAATGCATGGGTTATTGATTGAAAATAGGATTATGATTAAAAATACTGAGTGGAGAATTTTCAAAGCATGGAACACAATTGACTTCCTTCACTCTCATTAAAATCAACAGGCCATGTATCGTTAAAACCTCAGGCCAATTTTCAAATATTTACTGCAGCTCATCAGTCAGGGTTATGGAGTACTATTCATGAGGGGATATGTTTGACTTTTCCAACTGTGATTGGCAGGGCACCTAGTGTTATGGTTCTTATTATGCAGTATTAACATTTGAAATCAGTGTTGTAATAAGAGCTAGCTTGTCACTAACCCAGGCAGGCCTACAGCTGTGAGCAGTTATTGTAAAATGTAGCTTAGATTCTATCTTAGAGACCAACATGAGCAACTAAGTATATATTTACAGCATCATGCCAAAATAAATCCCAAACTGGGGTTATTATAGAAATTTTAAAAATACAATAAATTATTTCTTTGCTGCATAAGGTCAGTACACAGTGGGAAATCTAAAGAAATTTATATTGGATTGGATAATGTAACAAGAATTGCATCATTTTCTATATAACAGCTAAAGCGTGTTAACTCTACCCTTACTTAGGAGATTTGGTTCTTTTTTTCAAGTTCCCCAAATACCAGATAGGTAAGGAAATATGATTGATTTGTTTTTCTGATGTAAAACTGTCTGCATCAAAATGAGTAATGGCCTTCAACATAGTCACTTCTACATGGTAAGCTGTACTCTGTAATTGACTTGTCACACAAGAAAGTGAGTCTCATTATTTACTTCACTTCTTGTTTTTGAACAAAACCTAAGATGATGCAGTGCCCTATTTCATCATATTCCCAGACTTGGAAGTAATTGAATTTTGGCTGTTTTCAAAAATCTAATTCGTCTTCAGAGAATCAAGATTTGCTTCATGGAAGATATTAAAGGAGAACCCCCTACCCCACATTCCTGCACGTCCACAAAGCAGAGCTTTATACGAGTTTGCCTATAGTTACACAAGGCCACTGCTTCAAGGGACAGTTTTCCACTGGATGTAACAGATACTTGCTAAAAATGATTAGCTCTGTCATCCCACAGGCCACTGTATCCACTATACTTTATCGAAGGGCTTTTTTCTACCCTGCCTGGGCTAATTCATCACACATCTTAAAGTGAATGTGGTTTGTCAGTTGTACTTTCCACTACTAATACCAGTTAAAGTGGTAGGTGCAGAGGGTAAAATGAAAGAGATTGGAAGCAGTTAAATGGAGTAACTGCCCCAGCCCACCTCTCACCAGTCCTGAAGGGGGGGTGTAGAGGAGAGGGACAGATCGTAATTGAATGATAGCCTCTCCGAGAAACACGGGAGCTGGTTGAATAAGTTCTAACCAAAAGTCAGGAGTAAGGTTGGGATTGAGTGAGGAAAGTGAGATCATTAGGATTCAAAGTACATTAGGAAGCACCTACTCTCAGTTGCTGATCCTGCACTTACATGACCCTGAGAGTGGGAGATTTCTTAAAGTTTGTTCCCTAGGCGTCTCACTTGCCTCATCCTACTCTAGGCACTGGTGGGGTGGGGTGGGGGAGATGATATCTAATTAGTCTCTTGCTACATACTTTCTAAGCAATTCTGGACAAATTAGAGGTTAATATCATGCAACTTCAAATTCCCTACATGTAAAATGAGAATGATCCCTGCAACACCCTTATTATAAGTTGCTATGAGGATCCATGGAATATCACTATGTTTTAAAAGCCATTCACATTTATATTATTATTTTTCTTCTGTCTACCATGTCAAATTAAAAAAAAAAGTATGCGTCTTCTTCTGCAGTAATTCTCAGTATTAGACTAGCTGGGCATAACTGGACCTCTGGGGTCCCTTTTAAAAAGTACAGATGCTGGCCCTTGCTTCAGACTAGTTACATAAGAGTTTCTTAGTCTGAGGCTCAGGAATCAGTATATTTTACATTATTTGCTTATTAGTTGTACCTCTTTAATTAAATTGAATTTTTAGTGGTTGCTTATAGTTTATAATGTACAGTTTTAACTTAACCATGTCTAACTTCAAAAAAATATCATAGTACTTTATGGATAGTCTTATGAACCTTAAAGCAATGTACTTCCAGTTTGTTCCTTCCTTCTTTATGCTATTGTCAGACATTTTTCCTTTATATATGTTATAAACCCTACAATACATTGTTTTTATTGTTTATTCTAGGTTATCTATTACCTTTTCAAGCAATTAAGAAAACCAAAATTTTGTATAATTACACTCATTTTTTTCTGTGTTGCTCTACTTAGTATTGAAATTCTTATGCTATTAATGAATTTGCTCAGCTTCTTTTGTCTGAAAAAAAGAACTTTATTTTACCTTCACTTTTGGAAGATATTTTCACTGGGAATAGAATTCTGAGTTGGCAGGTTTGTTTTTATGTTTTATTTTTCAGTACTATAAAGATGCCACTTGATTGTATTCTGACTTGCATACCTGTAGTTTCTAAAGATAACTCTCCTGTAATTCTTACCTTTGCATTTTATGTTTTTCTTTATTCTTGAGTGTTAGCAGTTTGGCTATAATGTATCTAGATGTGTATTGTTTGGTGTTTATCCTTCTTGGGATTCTCTAAGTGTCTTGGATCTGTACTTCGATGTCTTCATTATTGTATAAATTCTCAGCCATTATCTCTTCAAAACAAATATTCTGACTCTACCTCTCATCTAGTTTTTTAAAATCCTTATCTGAGGATATTTTTCCATTGATTTTTTTAGAGAGAGTAGAAGGGAAGAAGGGAGGGGGAGGGAAACATCGATGTGAGAGAGATACATCAATCAGTTGCCTCTTCCATGCACCCCCACCAGGGCCAGGGATTGAACCTGCAACCCAGATATATGCCCTTGTCCGGGAATAGAACCTGCAACCCTTTGATAGTGGGCTGACACTCTAACTATTGATCCAGACAGGCCAGGGCATACCTCTCATCTATATTTGAGACTCCAATTATACTATGTTAGACCATTTGATATTATATTACCTAATTCTGTTTTGTTTTGTTTTTTAACTTTTTTTCCCTCTTTATATTTTAATGGGAATAATTATCTTGATCTACTTCAAGTGCACTATTTCTTTCTTCATCTGTTTTAAGATTAGTAATTGGCCCATCAAAGAAATTTTTTCTCTCTGATGTATTGTGTTTTATTTAGAATTTCCATTTGACTATTAAAGTTTTCATATTTCTGCTGAAATTCCCCACATGTTTATGTATGTTTCCTACTTTTTCCAACGAGATACTTTAACATATTAGTCATAGTTATTTTAAAATTTCTTTTTGATACTTCCAACATCTGGATCATGTCTAAGTCTGGTTCTCTTGACTTTTTTATCTTCTCTCATGGGTTGTTAACTCTTCTCTTATGGGTACTATTCATAACTTTTCATTGAATGCTTTATATCATGTATAGAAAAGTAAAGACTGAAGTAATATTTATGCCTGAAATGGCCATGCCTTTTTTTGTCAGACTATTGGTGTGGGAGTTCAAATCAATCTAACTGTAACTTAAGCTGGATTTGGGTTCTGTTGTCACTATTGTTATTTTCAGTGCACTCTGGCTTTCAGAATCCTTTATGGGCTATAATGCTTTGTGCTTATGTCCTAACATCTATAATGTTTTTAGACTCTTAGGTTGAAGTCTAGTTTT